TTTGCAAAAGTTGCACAGATGCAGGGACGTGACTCTGATGCTGTCAGGAATTTAAACTGATACTGAAGGTGCGATGGGGGAGGGGAGGTGAATTTGTGAGTCTCGGTGGGTCCAAGAGTAAACCTGCAAAAATAGAAGGAGCGGGGTGGAGAGAGCGTAGTTTGAGGGTGAGATGGGAAGAGGTACAGCAGGGTCTCCGGAGCTGCGCTGCTGTGCGGCAGCTGTTAGCAAGGGGTGACCAGAGGGCACCACAGTGGAACTGCTCAGAACTGCGATGTGCCATCAGTGTAAAACACACACCAAATGCCTCAACTCAGTGTTGTTGGGTAGTCCCTTTAAAAATGGCTCACCAAACCCAAGTGTTCCAGGTCCTTCTTGTCTTGGACAGAGAATTGGACAAGCCAAGCCAAAAATGATGTCAAAAGTTTATTTTAAAGGTGAGGGGTGCACTCAGGAGGCTGAGGCAGGAGGATCATGGTGAGTTCGAGACCAGCCCGGGCTACAAAGTGAGCCTAAGGCCACCCTGGACCGCATAGCGAGACCCTGTCTCAAAAATACAAAATAAATAAATGAATGAATAAAAATAAAGGTGAGGGGTGAAAGGGTAAGGGAAGAACAAAGGAAAAGGTGAAAGCAAAAATGAAAGAACAGTCTGGGTCTGGAAGAGGCAGGGTGGGCTACAGTGAGGGGCCAAGGTGGTGGGCTCCTCGTGGCATCTGGTCTCTTGTCTGCTGTCTACTTCTCACGGGGGTCCTGGTGTTGTGCTGGGATCTTGGAATCCACAGGTCCCGCCCACTTCTCCAGCCAGCAAGGTTACATCCAACCTCCTATGTCATTAATACCACGAATATTTCACTAATAACTTTGAAAACAGTGGCTGCATGTTAGCTGAGCGTGGTGCAGTGTGCCTGTCACCCCAGCACCGTGGAAGGCTGAGGCCGGAGGATGGCAAGTTTGAGCTCAGCTTGCACAACTTGAGAGACTGAGCAAGACCGTGTCTCACGATAAAAAATAAAAGAGGGCTGGAAATGTAGCTCGGTGCAAAGGTCCTGGGTTCAATCCCCAATACTGGGGGCAGGGGAGTTACATGTTTAAATAATTTTTTGCATGTATTGGATGAAAGTGCATTATTGAAATGAAAGTCACTCATTTGTTTTATTTACTTTTTAAGAATTATGTATGTGGCTCAAGCTCAGATTTCTATTTTTTTTGGGGGGGGTACTGGGAATTGAACTCAGGACCTTTCTATTATGTTCATGGGGTACTGGAAGAGGTAGAGAAGTCCCAGGAATGGTGAAACAGGGTCGAGGTTGGCTGGGTGTTGAAATGACTAGGACTTCATAGCAGGCTCATCTGCAGTGGGTGACTGTCAAATAGAACAGGACAACTTTAAAGAAATGAGGAGGTTGCCGGGCATGGTGGCGCACGCCTGTAATCCCAGCACTCAGGAGGCTGAGGCGGGAGGATCATTGGGAGTTCGAAAACAGCCTGGGCTACAAAGTGAGCTCAAGGCCAGCCTGAACTGTTTATCAAGGCCCTGTCTCACAAAGACAAGAAAAAAAGAAATGAGGAGGTATGGCCTTGAGCGACAGATGACTCTCCAAGTCGGTGCAGTGCTAGATGACTTGATGACCTGGTATGCACAGCGGAGGGAGGACACCTCAGTGGGGAGGGAAGGACAATTCTCTGGATGTAGCATTGAGAACGGAAGAGATACTTGATCCATAGTTCTGAGTGGTGATGAGAAGCTTGTGGTGAAGCCGTTTAGAGACACTTGGTGTTCCTTCGGGAGGAAGCCCGGGCTGGAGCAAGAAGGGAGAGAACGCACTGGTCTGGTTTCGGGAGTTGGGCAGTCTCTTCCTTTGTGGACTGACACACTGGTGCTGAAGGATTAATGATGCGCTCCAATGGTCTCACGGCAGAGAGATGGAGGGAGGTTCGAGCGACGTCCTGCTTTCGCTCCTGCTGAAGGACAGAGACCCGGGAGAGGGCAGTCACCCCTGAGTCTGAAGAAGGATGTGTGCCACCGTCTACACCTGGCCACCAAGTGCTGGGCTCTGTCCTTCGTCCAAAGCCTCTCAGTTGCCCGGGCGGTGTTTGGTAGGGGATTTCTCCAGCCGAGGCTGGCTGCAACCCACTCTGGGGGTCAGGTCGCTCGTAGATGTGAGATTCAGTGTAATTCTCCCTTCTCTGCTCTGGACCAGGAAGCTATCCCACCGCCCACTGTACATTGGTTCTCCCTGGCCACGCCTACAACGAAGCACACATGCTGGCTCCCAGAGATGTACTTCTCAGAGGAAAGCCCCACATTCCAGAGACACCAGCCACAGCCTGGGCCCGGACCTCCCTCCCTCTTTCCTCCCTCCTTCCCTGCTATACTTCCTCTTTTCGTCCCTTCCCTCCCTTTATTCAGCGCATTGCTAGGTCCTGTTCATGATTTCCTGTCTGCAAGAGCTCTCTAATCTATCCATTTGCGTCCACTGCCAACCTGAGGGACCCACTTCTTGCCCCACACACCCCCTCTGGCCCTCCTACTATTGTGCACATTGCCCCCAGGGGAATATTTGTATTTATTTTATTTAGTTATTTATTTATTTGGTACCGGGAATCGAACTCAGGACCTTTCGCTTGCCAGGCAAGTGCTTGTGCGGCTGAGCTAAATCCCCAGCCCACAGGGGAAAATTTTTGATAGTCCCTCCTCAATTCCTTCCTTCCTTTCTCTCTCTCTGTCTCTGTCTCTGTCTCTGTGTGTCTCTCTCTGTCTGTCTTTCCTCTCTCTCCCTCCCCTTTCCCTCCAGCTGGCATGGAAGCCAGGGCCTTGCACGAGTGGGACAAGCGCTCTACCACTGAGTCACACCCCAGCCTCAGATTCTTACCCTGCCCTTCTTTGTGTCGAGAGTGTCTAGAATGTCTTCAGTGGCTCCTTATTGTTCTCAGGATAAACCCAAAGCTTCTCCTCACACTCCACATTTCTCGCCACACTCCGTGCAGCCTTCCCTGCTTGCACCGCCCTCTCAGATGTCAGCCAGGTCACCTTTGCTAGGGTCCCTGAGTGGGCCAAGTCCGCACTTGTCCCAGGTCTGTGGAGTTGCAGTGCTGAGGTCTGCCTGATAAACCCCTGCTTATCTTTCACATCTCAGCTTGGCTCTCCCTTCCCTGAGCTCCCCAGCTGTGTCATGTCTTCCGCCTATATATGCCCGGTCACATGCACTTCTCTCCTGAGATCCCTTGTAACCTGCAGTTTTACCTTCATTATTAAGTGAGGAGTAGCTGGGCGTGGTGGTGTGCACCTGTAATCCCAGCACTCGGGAAGCTGAGGCAGGAGGATCATTGTGAGTTCGAGACCAGCCTGGGCTACAGAGTGAGCTCAAGGCCAGCCTGAACCGCATAGGGAGACCTTGTCTCAAAAAAAAAAAAAAGACAAAAAGATAAAAATAAAAATAAATGAGGAGTATCCACCCCTCACCCCTCGCCTCTCACGGCAGATCTCCTGAGGGCATGGATTCTCCACAAGGTTGGGATCCTGTCTGTCTCTGCTCAATATTATATCCTCAGTGCCTAACAAAAATGCCTTGCACATAATAGGGGCTCAGTAAAGATTTGTTGTATAAATGAATAATGATTTGAAATGTCATAAAACCCTTGAGCTTTGTCAAATACGAGGCCTGCTTTGATCTACTACGTGATTTCAGTGGTCCTGGGACCTAACCTTAGTCAGCACACAGGGCACCTGGTTTTGTGCCAAGCACTGCCCTAGGCCTGCACTTCTGCTGCTGAGCGGACTGGCACAGTTTTGCTAGAACTGGAAGAGTGTGTGGCTTCCGTATCTTCCTGACACTTGGGACTCAGTTCTGTCCTGGTTAGCATGATGTCTTTTACTACCGGAAATCGAACTCAGGACCTTGTGCTTGCCAGGCAGGCGCTTATACCGCTGATCTATATTCCCAGCCCTGGTTAGCACGATAGCAGGTCTTACAGTGTCTGCTCGGGGGGGGGGGGGGGACCCTTCTGGCTGCTGAAAGAACCTGCATATCCAGTGTTGGCCAGAGCTATGGGCGGGGAGGTAAATAAGAAACCACTGAGTGACAGGAAGGGTAGCCTGAGGAAGCTTGAGCAAGCTCTGCGGGTTAGCTCACTCGCGCCCACTTCCTGTGCCCGGTCTGCGGGTGGGTTTTCTACATTAAGCCCACCCTGTTAAAGGGCGGAGAGTTTGGCGGGGGCAGTCGAACGGATTGTGTGAGCCAGAAGTGCTTTTCATCTCCAGCTAGACGGGTTATCTATCGCGATTTGACCCCCACTCTCTGAAAGGTTTCCTCCCTCTAAAGACAGCTGGCTCTTTCCAGCGACAACCACTCCAGCTTCTAGACCAGCCTTTCTCTGATTTTGGCTTCCGCTGGGTACAGGGAGAAGGAAGCAGCAGATGCCTCGCTAAGCGCTGCCTCGGCGCCAGCAACCTGCAGGCTCTGCTGTGGGTGCCCGGGTCTCTTTTCCTGCCTGCCCTTCCCGCCTCCCACGGTGGCTGACTCTTTGCCATCTGACCATCTGCCTCACTCTGCCCCCCATTTCTGGCCTGCTGACGCTTGCAGTGCCTTTGGGTGCCCATCTGGCCCGGCACTAGAGAGGCAGGAGTCTACCTTCCCCTGCTCCTCTGACCTCTGCCCCGGAGATGCCTGATGCAGAGTGGGAGCCCTGGGCCCTGTGCTTGGCTGCTTCTCTGGCCCTGAGGGGATAACGGAGTTTGCAGGGAAGAAAGACACCCAGTTATTAGAATTACTGCTGCCACAGCCGGCAAGCTCAGGACAGGTGATCGGAAAAGAAAATTGTTTCACCGGCAGGAACTGGGATTATTTCTGCATATACCCTGAGTGCCTAGAATGTAGGAGTTATTTGGTAAATACTGGCTCCCCTGAGGCTGGGGAAGTGAGAAAAGGGTAGAGGAGGGCACTCTGATGTCAGGGCTGACCTGGAAGGAAGGACGCCCAGGGGCCTTTGCGCCCTCAGTCCTGCCCTTCCGGGGCTCAGCAGGAAGCTGCTGCTTTGGCCTTGGCCGCAGAGGTCCCCGTCTTGCTGGCTTCTTCACTCTCTAACCCTCCACTGCACCTCCTCCTCCCCTGGGTCTACGGGCCCTCCGGTGAGATTCCCTTCTACTGAGGAGCAAAGGCCGGTGAGGAGGACAGGACTTTTGGCAGCAAATGGGAACTGAAGCGAGGAAAGCATGCTGCAGAAAAGTGAGAAAAAGACAGGAGGTGGCTATCCTTCCTCTCCTTTCCTTTCTTTTCTGGTTTTTTTTTTTTTTGAAGATTGTAAAAGTAACACATGATCACAGGGGGAAATGCAACAACAGTATAAAAGCCTTTTGTCATCTGTAATTCTATTCCCTAAAGCTGACTAAGGTGCTGGCTCATCCCATCTGTAATCCCAGCTATTTGGGAGGCTGAGGCAGGAAGACTCCAAGTTTAAATCTAGCCTGGGCAGTTTAAAGACTTAATGAGAACTTGTCTGAAAATTAAAAAAAAAAAGCAGAGAGATGCCGCTCCATGGGAAGATCTTGAGTCAATTCTCAGTAACAAAAATCAATCAATCCATCAATCAATTAATTAATTAATTAATTTTGGGGTGGGTGGGTGGGTGCTGGTAGTTTGAGACAAGATCTCCCTGTGTAGTCCAGGCTCATCTCAAAATCATGATCCTCCTGCTTCACCCTCCCAAGTGCTGGAATTAAAGGTATTTGTCATCGTACCTAGTTCCTGTCAACAGTTTTTTTGGGAAATCTGGAAATGTACTGTTATAGAAAACCATGTGTACACACAACTCACAGATACAGAATGTGTGTACGTGTACTTGTGTAGATACATACACACATACCTACTCAGACAGGAAGATGGAATGTGATGGTATCTTGGGATAGAAGGGTCCAAGGATATAAAATAAGAGGATTCAGTTGGAGGCAGAATCGAAAAGCTGAGGAAGCCGGGCATGCAAGTGCATGCCTGTCATCCCAGCAATCAGGAGGCTGAGGCAGGAAAGTCAACACAAGTTCAGGCCAGCCTAGGCTACATAGCAAGTTCAAGATCAGGCTGCTGGAGATGAGCTCTTGTCTAAAAATCAAAAAGAGAAAAATAAAGGAAAGGGTGAGGAAGGCCAGGGCCAGGGCCAGGGCCAGGGCCAGGGCCAGGGCCAGGGCCAGGTCCGGCGGGACAGCTGGAGTGTCTGAACAGGTGGAGCCTTGGCATCAAAGCATATAAGCAAGGTAGCAGTAAGAGCGAGCAGGCGGAAAAGTTTAAAATAATAAAATTTTTCGGTTGCCCCAAATCATGTCCTTCAGGTGGTGAAAACCCAGCATCTAGTCAGCCTTGGCTTCCTGAAATAAGAAACAGGACAGTAACGCATGTTCTTGCAGCTTGATCGTGAGGCTTAACGGGAGTAATATACCTAGAGCTTAGCACTGTGTGTCGGGAAGGCCTACTACCCATTACCTGAGTGTGTACCGGTTTGTTTCAGGGCGGAGGGTGGAGCCCAGAGCCGCCCTTCCCTCGGAGCAGCTCGGCAGCACCAAGCCCCACCCCTGCCTAAGGGTGTGCAATTACAGTGCTGGTGGCTGTTCCAGGCACGGTGAGTGTTGGCGCTCTTGGCAGAGTGCTCAGCAGCGCGGCACATAATCCCTCCGTTGTTCACTTACGGCAAGCGCGCAGAAAGGACCTCCGGGTAGCATCCCAATTTACCTTCTGGATTGACTTTTCTTCCGTGAGTGCTGTCAACATGTCACTTTATGCTGTACCATGAAGCAGACTTTCTGGTACCTGATGGCTGTAAATCCGTGGAGGTGTCTAGAGATGTTTTCCAGAGCAAGGGTCAGAGTTCCTTTTGTTAATTCTCCCTGGCCTGCTTCCAAGCTGCTGGGTGTGCTACCCTACACTTGACTACCCAGGATATCAATCAGAATTGTTTGCTTAAGAAAAATACCTGAGAATTGTCAGGGCAGTTCTGTTCATTGTCTGCATTTTAACAGCATCGACTGACTCTGAAGCACCTCCTGAGAGAGCCTGGGCCATGATTCTGTCCTGGGAAATTCTGTGTTTCTACTTGTATTTCGAATGGCTGGCTTAGCCTGGGCTACAAAGTGAGCTCAAGGCCAGCCTGAACTGCATAGCGAGATCCTGTCTCAAAAATGAAAACAAACAAACAAAAAAATAGAGTGGCTGGCTTAAAAGCCCTTTGGTTTTATGTTCTGCATCTCCAATGCTCTTAGTTGTCAGTAAAACTGAGCCTGCCCACACACTCTTCTATTCTTGCTTTATAAATAGGTTCAGCTCCCTAACAATTGCACATACTCTATTTTGCACATGCATTATTTGTTAAGGAGACTTTTAAAGGGTAGATGGCTTTTATTCCTCTCTGTTTTTCTAAAGACAAAGTCTGCTATATTATAGTCTCGGTTGGCCTTGAACTCCCTATGTAGCCCAGGCTTGCTTGAACTTTCAACCTTCCTGCTCTAGCCTCCTGAATGCTGGAATTAAAGACATGTAGCCGCACATCCAGCTTGACTTTTACTCTTATGAAAATGTTATCTGGAAACTATCTTACTAAGTGGGAATTTTCTTTTCTTTTTTTTTTTTTTGACAGGAGTTCGCTATGTAGTTCAGGCTGGCCTTGAACTCACTATGTAGCCCAGACTGGCTTCTAGCTCACAGCAATCTTCCTGTCTCAGCCTTCCAAATGCTGGGACTGGGGCTGAAGATTTAGCTCAGCGGCCCAGCGCCTGCCTGGCAAGCCCAAGGTTATGAGTTCGATTCCCGGTACCGGAAAAACACAAAAACAAAACAAAACAAAACAAAACAAAACAAAACAAAAAACCCAAATGCTGGGATTGCAGGCCTGGGCAATCACACCCGGTTTTAAGTGGGCATATTTGGAAGGATGGTGATGAGGCTTTTGGTTTACAAAGCCCAAGAAACAATCTCCAACATGCTCAGGAAAAGCTAGTATCAAATTTCTCACAGATCGTCATAGGGACAAGCCCAGGACCGGCTTATGCGTGTCAGAGAGCTGTGCGCAGCACACTTTGTATGAGACATGGTCACACGAGCTGTGGCTGTAAGAAATACTTGTGACACAGATGGTGAGATGCCAGAGAACAGAAAGACAGCGGGGGCTGAGAAGGCAGTGAAGATGTAGTCTTGGTGTAATTAAGGGCTTCCTTTGAAAGGCGGGTGGGGGGCACTGTAGGTATCAAGCCCCAAAAGAGATCTACCTGGGTCGGAGTTTCCGTTCTGGGCGGAACTGGGGACTGAGTAATACTAATACTGAGCATTATAAGGCTCTTTCAGATCAGGCACTTCATTTCTCCATGTAATGCAAGGGAGGTGCTGAATGCCTTTTTTTTTTTTTTTTTTTTTGAGACAGGGTCTTTTTATGTAGTCCAGGCTGGCCTGAAACTCACGGCATATGCCTGCCTCAGCCTCCGGAATGCTGGGGCTACAGGTGTGCATCACCATGCCCCGCACCGCAGCTCTTAAGGATAGAGGAACTGAAGCCAAGCGAGGGAAGAGACTTGAGCAGTGGACTTCGAGCTGGAGTGTGACTCCTTGCCTCCCTCTGCCTTGCACCCAGCAAGTTGCTTTATCCAAGAGCGGCATGCAGGCGAATGGACTCTGGCGCGGGCCCATGGCGTCAGTTTATGGAGTCGGTTTTCCTGACTCTCATGCGCCCCCCGACGCTCTTGGACAGCAGGGTGCAGCCGCTATGCGGGGCCAGGGACTGGAAAGCGCGCAGACGGCTAACAAGAGAACTGTGTCACGCTGGTCGCTGGTCAGCTATCAGGGATGACTGACGGATGAGCGAACAGGAAACGCCCAGGGGTAGGGGGGACACACGGTGAAATGCCTGACTCCGTAATTTGCACGTAGTGAATGTGGAAGAACTGAGGCAGCGACAGGGCAAGTTTCCATTTGTGATTAACATAAATAAATACTAAGTAAATGAAAGAATTCCAGGTCCGCTCTCTTTCGCGTAGCCTGGGGCTCAGAGCTGGAGGCTGAGGAATCCGATCGGACCAGAGGGGGGCTCCACCGAGCGAGCGCGGCTCCGAACCCCAAGATCTCTCCGCGGCCCAAACGCTCCGCTCCGGGGAGGCTACGCGGGGCGCCTGCGTCCAGGTCCCGGCGCCCCGGCCCCAAGTCCTCCGGGGGCCCTCGCCTCCCTCCCGGGTCCTCACACCTCCATCCCGCCGCGCCGGGGCGCGGGCGACGCGAATTCCCCGAAGCCGTCAGAGGCTTCCCGGCGTTGGAAGTTAGCATCCCCCAAGAACAGCCGCGGCTCGGCCGGCTACTGGGGCGCGGGGACAGAGGACGCCCCCTCGCCCAGCCCGCCCCAGTGCTGCAGGCAGCGCAGACCCCCGGGCATCTGGGCGCGCGGCGCCCAGCAGGAGCAGCCGGGGACGGGTACGCACGACCGGCCAGAGAAGGGGGCTAGGCGGCCGCGGCACCCCTGGGACGCCCACCCTCCGACGCGGCCCCGAGCGGGGAGGGTGAGTCAGAGCTCCGGCGCTCGCCGTCGGCCGGGAGGCGGGCAGGTCAGGAAATGACATCAGAGGCCTGAGCTGGGGAGGGGTGGTCCGTGCCCGGCGGGGGCGGCGGGGACTGGGGCGGCGGCGGGCGGACCTCGGCCGGGCCTCGGGCCCCGGAGCAGGATCAGGGCCCCTTCCTGGGGGAGTTTCCTGCCTCGTCCGCCCTCCCCGCTCTCCCCGCCCCCTCTCCGGGCCGCTCCTTGTATGGTCTGGGCTCGGCGCTCTCCCCGCCCCCTCTCTCCCTCCCTTTTCCCTGCGTCCCTCCCCGCCCGCTGGAGGCTGCTGGGGGCCGGGACGCACAGTGCGCGGACGCGGCCCCGAGCAGACGCGGCGCGCTCCGGCCGGCGGTGAGGTG